CCACTTTATTCTTTGTGAGCACAGCTAGATGCTGCTCGCTCTTGCCTGTTGTTAACTAAACAAGCTCCCAGCCATGATGCGATAAGAAGAAGAGTTACTCTGCCGTGATAGCGATGAGCGCCGGCGCAGGCACAGATCCGGTACCTGAAAAGACATCTTCAGGATATTTTCGAGTGCTATGCTGCGGCCCTGATCTGTGCATGTGAACTGTCCCGAAAATCTCTTCTCAGTTCGCTGAGTACGTCGGCACCGAGGATGTGAATCAGGACAAGTCCATCGGTGAGAAGGAGTTTGCACTGCTCTTGCAAAACCTGGAGTTCCGTGAGATCCTGTCAAAGTTCGGTGAGTGGCTTAGGTATTCTGCACTCGTTCCCCCCCCCCCCGCACCGCTTGCATTGTGCAGTGCTGAGGTACGGATATCCAAGATCTGCAGGACATCATGGCCGTGCCCTGCATGATTCAGTTTTTAGTCGGGCTGCATTAGACTTGCTGTCGCATGTGGCTGGGCAAATGTCGTGCGTGCACAAAGGCCGTCTACAACGAGCGTGCAGGCAATGTGTGTGATCAAAGCCAATGGTTGCAGCAAGGAATCTACATTCGGATCCGTGTGCCCCTTTATTTTTGCGAGCCGCGTGTAGATGCTCCCAAGTGATTCTGCCCCGTTCGTGCCTGCACTCGGCAGCGGGGTTGGGCCATGGAAGCGTTCAAAGCTACAGATCTTTTCGCCTGAAGCGCGTGAATCACTACTGATTATTATTCTCCAAGTCCAAGAGTGGGAGTTCATGATTCGTGGCGACATTAGCATCTGAACCGAAGCTTCCTGCTCGTTGCGGCAGCCCGCGTATGGTGTCATTCCGAACAAGCTAGTGCAGCATTGCGTCCGCATGTGAAAGGCCAACAGGAATAAACACACTTTTTTGTTTTGTGCAACTTCACAAGAACTCTGACAATTATAATTTTTTTCTTGCAGAGCCTGGAACTCGACATCAATTGTCAGGAAGATATCAACGAAACGGTGACCTTCTATGCGATCAGAAATGGTCCCAAGGGCATAGCTCGCACAGTTATTGAATGTGGAGCATCCGCGGATGTAGACGCTGGCCAAGCCCCACAGACTCGCCACAGACGATGCTGTCCGATTCCCATCCGGAGATCCTAAGCACTTTGCGAAAGCACAGAGCATCCGATTGACAAGACGTTTCATGCCTAAGAAATGGTTGAGGCGCAGATACGGCGGCAAAAACAAGCAAGGGGGAATGAGGATAGATGGACAGAAAGGAGCAAGTGAATAGAGAAGGAGTTTGTTATTAAGAACCACGGTGGACATCGTTACGTGGAGCCATGATCAAATCTTACGTGCCTGATCATGCAACTGCACGAAGCGTCTGTCGCGCTTCAAAGGGGGACTTTGCCGCCCATACTCGTCTGCAAACTCCGACCATGGTCTGAAAAAGCTGGAAACCTGAAGATTTAGATCCTCCCTTCTTAGTGATTCCCAACAGAAAAGAAAGATGATCGCTTGCAGGCCATGGAAACCCTGGGCAGCAAGTAACCACGGGGATAAATGCGAAAAAGAAGACGGGATTAAACCACTCGATGATCAGTGGGAAACCAGCCGGTTTTGAACAGTACGACTCCCGCCCATCAGGCTTTGGGCCATCCCGATGCATCATAGCATGAAAATTAGCTGGCTACTGGTAAAACCCGTTTCATCAAGAACTCTCAAGTTTTCAAGCAGGAACAGTGTGATATCAAGCATGTGGTATGGGGACCATGTCTGAGGCTTGAGGTACGAGGCAGTGCGCGTAGGAACCGTGGGCAAGCTCTCGCACATTTCGCATCTCATTCTGACTTGTGGCTGCAGGCACCAGCGTCGAGTTCAATGAACTCATCGGAGTAGTCTTGCGCCTCAAGGCCCGTGGGTTGTAGGTGAGGCCGCAATCTCTTGCAACCCCAACGTTCTATAGTGACTCGGCAAAGAGCAGTCCACTTGCAGCGAGTCGTGAATGCCAGGGCGGCAATAATGCCCAAGTCACAGATATCGTGGACTTGCGAAAGCTTCTTGGATTTAATAGAACATCATATTTACAAGAGTTGTCTGCAAACATTGGGCAATGAGGTGCGTCAAGTCGGTCTCCGACAAGCTGGAGTGCCTCCTGGACCCAACAAAAGGCAAGGACATACTCAGCGGCATTATTGTAGGCCTTTCAACAGGCGGCAGTTGTACCACGTACGCTTTTCCGTACCAGTCCCACGCGGCCCACCGCAGCCGCTCATCGAGTCCATCGAGGAGCGGGTTCCAAGTAATGAAGTGAAGTATTTCGCGCTTTCAGCGTGGCTTCCCTGTGTAGCAGGTGCGCATCATCAAGGCGCGTGGCTTGCGAAATGCGGACCTGGTTCCCCTCACAGGCCCAGCACCCAGCATCGGCGTCGTTGCCTTGCTTTTTCAGTTCTGCAGCTTCCTGTGGACTGTTGTGAAAAATGCGCCTACCTGTTCCGGCAATGGATCGCGAGCAGGCAAGTCCGATGTCTACTGCAAATGCGGGGACCCCAAAACATTGTTGGTGACCGCAGCAGTGGTGAGTACGGATTTAACGATGGCTAGCAAAATGTAGAACGGTTGTATGATGGATGACGGAACTCGAGAATTTTCCCGAACTGTTCACACCGATCGGGGACGGCCGAGTTACAGCTGAGAGTGTTCGACAGGTGTGGTGCTTGGAAAGCCTGGCACCGGAGTGGTCACCCGGGTCATTCACGCCGCAGACTCAGCAAACAGGTTTCTTTCCTGTGTCTGCTCTGCTGGGCCAGCCTTTCACCATCAAGAGCGGGGCGGAATGTCAACGATGCAATGCAGGACACCACGAACCCGGTGTGGGACGAGGCTGCTCGGCCATGGAAAGGAAATGACAAGCTGAAAGTCTTCTGAAGCAGAGATTTCGATCACTTGAGCACAGATGCCTTGTAAAGCGAAGTCACGGCGCTGAGTGAAGATTTTGTCGGCCCGTAAGGCCTTCGTGATGGCGGATTACCAGGCCGGAGAGCATCTGCGGTTTCAGCTCTTCGACCAAGACTGGCGGATCATCAAGGACTCCCAGCCCCAGTCCGGATGAGTGCATTCAAGCTCTGTATGATGGGACTTGCAAACGCCAGGGTGTTCGCACCCACAGGCAGTCAACCAATCAGTCAATGACTCAATCAACGTACGAACGAAGTGCATATGCGCACCCTCATGCGCATGCATTCGGACCTGTCACCTTTCCCATCTTCGACACCAGGAAGATGACTACCTTGGCTCCACGGTGCTCGAGAGCCAGGTTTTCTGTCCACAGGCTCTGCGGAAAGAGAACTCTCAGAGTCTGGGGAGTGGGCATGGCCCAATGGCCATGCATGTTCTGTAGATGCCAGGGCTTCGAAGGCGAGCTTCGTCTCTTCGGCGGTGGCAAAGGCCGCGCAGACGAGTTAGCGCTCAGGAAGTCGAGGAGATGCGATTGCCTTGCCTCGTCAAGGCATCGAGGCGTACCTTGAAGTCAAGGCGACGGGTCAGTCTCAAACGAGTCAAACTCTATCCGGGAGCACTGTCCCTTGTGGGGAGGTGACGGTGAAGCTTATGCCAGTCGAGGGCTCAGCAGCTCACCCGAAGCACGTGAAACACCTGAAGTTACCTAGGTGGAAGAGAAGAACGAGAAGAAGTCGACCCTGTCTGACTCGAGCGTCTGCTCGGATTATAGTGCAGGAGCCCGGGGGGGGCATCGGGGGGAGGCCGGGTGGTACTCTCTAGAAGACTACTTTCTCCACAGGCACATCCAACATGGCGCTGCTGCTGGCACGACTCGATGACATTTACGCCAGCCAGCGGCGGCTCTCGACGTCGCTGCAACGTCTAGAGCTCAAGAGCAACAGAGAGTCCGCGGATCCGTGCTGCAACTGAAAGTCGCCGCGCGACGAGGCCTCGAGGAGCGAATGGATGTGGTGGAAGTGGCCGTGCCTCGACTTAGCGACGCCGAGCGATGATGAGAGATGGGTACCTTCTCTGCAGTGCGGATGTTTGCTCCCCCAGGTGACAAGGACGACGCCCAGTCCCGACTTGCGGCTGTAGCACTGGGACTTCCGCTGAGAAGTAGGTAGGGGCCAGTGGGGATGCGTGTAAGAGCAGCTGGAATCTAGCTCATACTAGTCTACTAGTCCTACACCCTCTGGCGTGGGCCTTCGTAGGACAGGTTGGCCGTTCTTGCCCGCTTTCGGATTTCGTGCAGTCCTCCAGAAAATTTGGATGGCATGAAGGGATTTTCCGCTGCAAGAGGCTTGTGTAGCAGGAAGCGCGGTCTTGCAGGCCTGGCTCCTCTTGCAGATCGATTGCTAGCCAGTTCTAGTCCACTTGCGCTCCAGAGGAGCAATGGTGAGAAGCTGCCCTGTAGGCTTCTGATGGTCGGATCGGCTTCTTTCCAAGGCACCTTCGTGGCAGTGCGCTGCGCCGCAGAGAGAGGAGTGCGGAAAGGTCCGACATTTTCAGATAGTATGCAGTTTTGCCAAACGGCACTGCAGACGATCGGTGAAGGTCAGACACACGCACACACGCCTGTGCAGGGGCTCCAGCGCCCCTGGAGAGGTGCAGTTACATGTAAGGCGCCATCAGTCCAGATATAGCAGAGCCCCAACGCAGCAGAATGCGCAGCTTGAGTGCGGGTTTCGTTGACCTTTGGACCATTGCACATTGCCGAGGCGCTCTCAGCTCTGTGTTAGGGGGTGCAGTGCGAGAGATCTGCAGAACTTGATAACGTTCGCCCAGGTACATACATCTGTAAAGTAGTGCCAGTGACATATGCACTGGAGCTGAGAGCGTGTCGGAATAGCTGGTTCGGAGCAGCAGATGCTGCGGTTCCGAGTAGACGATGCATGCTGCGGCTTTCTTATGCGCAGTTTTCACCTTTCACGAAAATTGTGCTCGCATGTTCCTGGCATTCACGGAACACTGAGCTGCCGCACGATGAGTGCCTGAGGTGCCTTCTGCATCGGAGCCAGAGGAGGATCAGCAGGAGGCAGCGATACCCACATAGGTTATGCTCAGCTTGTTTCAGACAGCGTGCAAGAAATAAAGGGGTCTCAGTCAACGTTCTGCGACGACCAGACGGTGTTGTATGTGACAGAATCAGGTTTATTTACAGTTAGTGTAGTTACACACATAGTCAAAGGGTTTTGCATCTTTCTTCTGCGGGCGATTCGATGGTCAAATGACAATGGGCCTGGATCTTCTTGTGTGGCTCATGCACTGTGGATCGAAAAGTTGTGTTCCAAGATGTTTGAAGGTCTGCCGGCACCAACTTTAATCTGGTACGCCAGGGTTGAACATGCGACGACGAGCTCCAGCTCGGCAATGCCAACACAACGGGATGCAGCCGGGATCATCTCACTCATGTAACTGCAAGTTTATCTCAAACGCAACCTCATACTCAAACCGCAAGAAGACGAGGTTTTTTTTGCCATAGCGACCTGGCAAAGGCTGGCAGCGAAGCTCGCAAGCCGCAGGCGGCAAGCGGGGTCCATGCTTCTGGCGATCCTTGTACAACGACAGCATCACATCGTAGGGTCACTTAATTACTAATCAAATCCCACCAAGTCCTGAAGTCAGGACAGTAGGAGCAGAAGTTCTTGCACAGTTTTAGGCTCTTCAGTCCTTGCATGGAAAGGCGGCAGTGGTCCACAAATCTTCAGGTATGAAGGAGAGATGGGTGAGAGTCTCGGGGCACCTAAGAGGTTGGCTCGGTGAGTGCTGAGGCGATGCACAAACTTGCAATCCCAACAAGAAGGTCATATCGGGCTCAGGCGAGCACAGAAGAGCAAAGCACAGAAACAACAGTACACAAGCTAGTCGTACACCTGATAGTTAGCGTCTCGCCTCAAAGAGTTGACAGATCCAAGCTTGATTCGTGTCTCTGGGCTTGGTGCAGGATACCGAACCCCTGGTCAGATTCAATTGGCTGGTGCGGCCGGCCCTGCTTTACTCCTCAAACCTTTGCCTAAATCCGTGCATTGGGTGAGCTTGTAAAAATCTGTTCGGGCTTGAGAAACAGGACTCGCTGGTAGGGGGCTTTTGCTCATGGCAAGCTTCAATAGATTGAATAGTGGCTTCCTCTTGGCAGTCAATCAGGATCCGTGTGGAAGGCTAACGTCAGGACCCATGGAGATAGACGAAGCGGTTTTGCCTGCAGGGCCAAACTTCTCACTGCAATCGCTTCTGGGCTCAAGTTCTGCCTCGCCCCGTACTCGTGCGGACACGGGGAGGCGCGGCCCTTTCTGGCAACTTACAGCTCTGTGCCTCGACTCCTGGGCTGCTGACTATTTGAGCTTCTCAGTGTTGCATTCCACATTGGGTTTTGCGCAGCTTCGCATTTGATGTAAGAATATGCTGCTTCGCTGCACTGCTTCCACCAAGCTTCCCGACCACGTGCAGGTCAGACATCAGCGCCTTATAATGAAGCTTCTCGGTTCTGAGCTGTGTGCGAAGTCCGTCCTGTTGGCCGTCTGTGCCTGTCATCCGACACATAGGCAGACTGGAATCGATAATGATGAATTGACGTGAGCCGTCAGCAAACTTAAGGTCAGCATTGCGTCGGGGAGGCTCGGCTGCATTCGGTCTGAAGCTTTCAGTCCTCGGTGCTGGCAGCATCTGAGGTGACCCACCGATTGAAAAAGCACATCTGGTTAGGTCTAGGACCCTAGGAGCAAGCCTGTTGATGAACTTCACGTCTTGTTCCCCACTCAGATACGAGAGAGCCGCTGGTCGCTCGTCCGCCCGAGGCATCATTGCCCTGCTTGCCTTGCCCATCACTGCTGGAAAGTCGCTGTCTCCACATGGCGTCACTCGTCGAAAGTGGGCTTACAGGGCCCTACTGTTGAGATGCCCTCGTATACTTCCTGACAGAAGGGATTGGACAAGGTGCCAGCTCGCGCATGGCTAAACTGTCACGTCAATGAGCATAAATACCTGCGGGATGCAACCAAGATCAACATCGAAAGCCTTGCCGGGGTGGATCACGTGCCAGCGGCTGTTCAGGCTCCACGGATGCAAGTGCTCGAAAGCTTCCTTTCGTGAAGAAACAGAGATCGAGTTCAGAGAGGGTTTGACAGTTTCATCTTGGTGAACAAGGCTGCAGCTGGCGGATCTTCCCCAAGCCAGATCGGAAGTGTCGAAGGAGACTTGACAGCTGAGATGTGGACATGCAAGCATCGTGATCGCTGTGCCCACAAGGAGCACTCACCAACTTGCTGAAGCATGGTGGGGGCGCAGAGGCGTGTCTGCCTGTTCAAGGTTAGGTCAAGTGGTGGAAAGAGGCCCATGAAGCAAATTCGCACTGCTCTCACCGCCACTGCCAGGGCAGCAACAATACCGCTGTAGTTTCTACCATCCTCGAGATCGTCAACGTTACGATGAGGAACCGGTTGTTGACGGCTCACAAGAACAGCAGCACGGCAAATCATGACCAACTAGCGGAGCCTGAGTCGACTCGATGTCCACTGGGTTTGCGGGTAATCCAAGGCGTGACGAAAATGAAAGCAGCGGCGCAAGAGCATGATACCTGCCTGGCAGCGTACAAGGCCAGCTCACTGCATTCCCAGGACGTGTGTCAGAAGGTAGCTGCGACCTCCATGTTCTGTCAGGCTGCCGACAAAGTGCGTTTCCCTCCTGCTGTGTGGCCTGGTCGCATAAGTCGCAATACATCGTTCTGCAATGCTCTGTTTCCTTGACTTCGCAGGCTCCTGCAGGGAGATGTCTCCAAGCAGACGGAAGTCGAGGATCGAAGACATTCACAAAAAGGTCTTTCCGACATGAGGTCCCATCGACTTCAGTCTTGAGATGCCTTGGGTTTCTTGCCTCGGGTCAAGTTTCTTTCGGAGTCTGTGAAAAAGTCCAAGTAGTGTTCCAATATATGAGCAAGTCTGATTTGTGGAGCTGCGCTGGATTTTGCGGACCTGGTAGAGCTGCGAGGACTACTTCGCGGCCTATGCCTGGTGCAAGGAGTACGAGCAGAACCAGAGTGCCAATTTTAATGCATGTGCCGGGGCCTTAGAAGTGCCTGACCCCATGTCTATAACGTATATGTTTCTTGGAAAGGTGCTGTTTGAGAGCCTTTTCGGCCGAGGAGTATACTTGCCGGAATGAGACGATTCCACGTGAGGAGTGCATCGAGCTCGGCAAGGACAGCATGCAGCGAGCGCTCTTGTGCGACATGTCTACGGGCCAGGGTCTATGCTGAGATGGTGTCGCCCCGCAGCCACGATCTCTGACTTAAACATGCTGTGTGCGTCCGAACCACCCAACCGCTCACCCCACCCTTTTCGCCCGCCCGCCCCACCCGCACCCACACACCCACACACCCACAAGCCGACACACCCACACCCACACATCCACACACCCACACACCCACACCTACACACCCACACACCCCCACACCCACACACCCCCACACCTACACACCCACACACCCA